GTCATCATTAAAAACGATGGAAGTGCCAGATATAATGTGGGGTGAAGCTGTCAGACACCCTGTCTATATACTCAACTGAATTCGACTAAAGGGGTGAAAGGCATGACACCGTACGAAGGCGTAAGAGGAACAAAACCAACACTCGACCACCTAAAGGTGTTTGGTTGCGTTGGGTGTGTAAAGAAGCTGCCGAATCAAATCTCGAAGCTAAGCAACTGTAGAATTCCAATGGTATACTTGGGTGTTAAATCGGGTTCTAAAGCCTACCTAATGTTGAATCCAGGAGAGCAGAAGGTGGTGGTCGCTCGTGATGTTTTTGATGAAAAAAGAAAATGAGACTGGTTCCAAGCCCACACTGGAGTGGCCGAGACAAACAAAATGTGGGTTAATGTTTCTTTTAATCATGCCTCGGGGAAGAAGTGCCAGCAGACACCACCATCGAAAATCAATTTGAAACTCCTGTCACCATGCTGGAGTCACTAGTAACTCCAAACTTTGGTTCCTCCAGCGAAAGCCATGAAGTAGGTGAGGCTTTGAGCACCGTTTATTCAACAGAGGCATCGCACTCCACAACTGAAACCAGGCAAAGTGTAGATTCCTCGACGTATGATCACACACCAGTTCGAGGTTTTCKATCGTTGTCTGATATTTATGCTAGAACAGAACCAATAGAGCTCGATCCAAAAATATTAATGTTTGTAGGTGATGAACCTACAACATACACAGAAGCTGCTAATGTTCACTCATGGCAGGAAGCAAGGAAAGTTGAACTAAGTTCGATTGAAAGGAATCATACTTGGAAACTCACCAATCTACCTTCAGGTCATTATCCAATCGGACTTAAATGGGTGTTTAAAATGAAGAGAGATGCTGATGGAAATGTGGTGAGGCATAAGGCCCGGTTGGTAGCGAAGGGATACGTCCAGCGGAAAGGAGTGGATTTCGAAGAAGTATTTGCTCCGGTGGCATGGTTAGAAACCATTCGATTGTTGCTAGCCTTGGCAACGATGAAAGGTTGGACTGTTCATCATCTTGATGTGAAATCGGAATTCTTGAACGGGGAGTTGCAAAAAGAAGTATACGTGTCCCAGCTTGACGGTTTCGTCATTAATGGAAAAGAACACATGGTCTAACGACTGAACAAGGCCCTTTACGAGTTATGTCAAGCACCACAAGCATGGCACATACGTCTCGACAAAGCACTTAAAGATTTGGGCTTTACAAGGTGTTCACGAGAGCAAGCGATGTATAAACTTCACTGCCCTAAAAATATTTTATTAGTTGGTGTATATGTGGATGACTTGATTGTGACATGTTCAAGTGACGATCAAGTAACCCGGTTCAAGAAGAAAATGCAAAAGGTGTTCGAGATGAGTGACTTGGGGCAGCTAACTTACTATTTGGGAATAGAAGTGTGACAAAAGGAGAAAGGAATTGAGATAAGTCAAGCCGGATATGCAAAGCGGATCCTACAATCAGCAGGGATGTGGGATTGTAATCCAACAAAGTGGCTGATGGATTCAAAATTTATTCTATCAAAGGATGAGCAAGGGACACCTGTGAATGCCACTGACTATCGTTGACTCATTGGCTGTCTGCATACTTGATCCATACTAGACTAGACCTCGCTTACTCAGTCGGAGTCGTTAGTCGATATATGCATTCTCCAAAGGAAAGCCACCTGAAGTCAGTGAAGCAAATACTCCGATACTTGAAAGGTACCGTGCAATATGGTTTGGTATATCCAAGAGGTGGTGATGGAAAGCTAGTGGGCTATAGTGACAACAGTCATGGAATGGATTTAGATGATCGAATGGGCACCACTAGGACGGTAGTTTATTTCTATGATAACCCGGTTACTTGGTTGTCTCAGAAGCAACACACATCGTGTCTCTATCATCTTGTGAAGCAGAATTTATGGCAACAACGACGGTGGCGGTGGGCCAAGCGGCGTGGTTAAGGAATCTGCTGAAGGATTTAACTGACTGGGAAAGCTCAAGTGTGAAGTTGTACGTTGACAATAAATCAGCGATAGCGTTAATGAAGAACTCGGTGTTCCACGGTCGAAGCAAACACATAGATACGAGGTACTATTTCATACAGGAATGCGTTGAGAAGGAGCTAATTAGCGTGAAGCATGTTAGTGGAGAAGAGCAACGAGCTGATATATGGACCAAGGCGTCACCGTAGGTCAAGTATATCGAGATGAGAAACCTGTTGGGAGTGAAAAACCTTGAAGACAAAGATCAGAATTAAGGGGGAAAGTGTTATCCTAATTCTGGTTTGGCAAATTGCTGACCAAGTCAAAGGGGAATAATTTGGTCATTGGTAGTTAGTTTATTTAGGAAGTCATGGGTAGTTTTTCAAGGGTGAACAACCCACGTTTCTGGTAATTAGTTTTTTTTCTTTCCTTCCAGTAGTTTATTTAAGCATTTTCCTTTGATGTACTTTTTGATTTAAGAGCAATATAGCACCAGAAAAGTTCCAAAAGTCTATGTCTTTCTTTGCATTTTCCTTCCGTATTTGGGTGTGTTTGTCGATCCTTAGATATCCGATTTCCAACAATACATATATATATATATATATATATATATCTTGGTTTAAAAATGCGCGCATTATGCGCTCTGATGCGCTGGACAGAACGCATCAAAGTGTATGATGCGATGCGATTCCACGATGCGAACGCATCACCTACGCATCACACGATGCGTGCATCATTTAGGCATCAGCGCATCATGTATGTTGCGTTTTGGGCTCCCTTTTTCAGTGTTTACTTGGGCTTTTTAGTTGGGCTTTTTTTAGTTTTGGGCTTTTTTTCAGTGTTTAGTTGGGCTTTTTAGTTGGGCTTCTTAAGTAAAATAGAACGTTAAGAAACAGCCTGTTAATGCATCACTTAGGGAGATGAACCCGTGTTGGGGTTTGATGATGCTGATCTTGGGGAGTATTAGTTGGTCACTTGGTTGGTCATTTAGTTTAGGGATTAGGACTATTAGACATTTACTTGTGTAATTGTGTTCTTCATGGTAGTAGTTTGTGTGTTATGTACTTCTGTTATTCTGATTCACGAACTTTTTAAGATTTTAATGCCACTTCTTTAACTACTTTATGTTATAAATGAAGTATTTTGATAGGTAAGTATTTTTAAGGTGGAAATTGATATGTAGAATTAACTTATAAATATTTTTTGAATACCGGGCGCATCACGTGCGTGATGCGAGCGCATCAGCATCACGCATCATGCATCGGCTTCCGGGACCCTTAACGCATCGGACCGTATTGCGCTTTTTAAAACCAAGATATATATATATATATATATATATATATTTGTATTTATTATTATGAATATAATTTTTTTACCGATATACCACCGTGATTACCACGATTTCAAATCAAGGTCCCAATCGCGATTTTCGCAATCGACCACTTTAACTGCTTAGGGTTGAAGTAACTGCAAGGCCGAGTGGGTTTCCAGCTTTAGCTTTTTTACGGAAGTTTCTTCTAAAATTGTGTCTTGTATTCTGGTTAATTATCCCAACAACCTCTCAGACTGATTTCTATACTCCCAGATTGTCTTGTCTTGCACTATTTCCAAAAATTGCTCGTGGAGGTTGCCTTGGGTTAATTGGAAATGATCCAACGACTGCCCTTTTAAATGCAACATTGATCTGAATGGCACTCGTTTCTCACTCCATCATAACAATGCAAAGACCTGCCTTTCAGGGTATTGCGCCCTCTCTCTCAACTACTGGGGTGCCAGCCTTTGAATTTCAAAAATATCGGTCGACTTGGTAAACTTAACAATGCACATCATCCTCGTGAAATACTGGCATATTTAATTCCTGCATCCAATAGTTGGGTCCCTGCCAAGGTGAGTGGTTGTAGCCCTCTTTATTTGGATCGGGTCCACATTGATCTGGTCCCCTTCTTAAGGTAGCAATCGTCACCGTCATTGCCGCCAATATTTGTTATATGACATTTTCTTGTTGCTCTTGTTGATGTTGATTTTGCAGTCCCAATTTTTGTTGGATGACGTGTCCTTCTTAAGGTGCAGTCGAAGTCGACTAGTCGAGTGGTGCAATCGTTGAATGGGCTGGAGCCCAATGACCTGGTGTTGTCGTGCAATTGAAGCTTGGAAGAAGATGAGAGTCGAACTATCAAAGCTTGGAGTCTTGGATCCGTTGGATGAAAGGGATGATTTAGATTAGGTCAAGTAAAGTCTAAAAGAGTCGTTTAACTCTTATTAAACCAAAGCCCAGCAAATATAAAACTAGAAGTAAAAGAAGCCAGCAAATATTAAACCAAATCCCACAAGATACTAAAAGAAACTAAAGCCCCAAACACTAAATGGCCMAGAAAATTGTGGTTTAGCGGACCGCTATTTTGGGACAAAATCGCAGTGATTAGTGGTGAATAGCGCCAATAAATCCGGCCCCTGCTATAGACCACAGCTGTTCCTCTGATGACCGCAATCCTCTATTGCACCGCTATTAACTACATAGTATACGAGAGTTTTTCTGTATATTGGGTTTCTGTTATTTTCTTGAAGTTGGGGGCCTGTCTGCAATGGAGTTTAGGCATTTATCTGTATCTGCTCTCTTCATGCCTGCTTCTGGTTTGGTCATTCTGCTCTGTTATATTCTTCTTGCTGTTATTCATTTAAGGGTTGTTTCTGTTAGAAAAGTTGGTCATATAGATGTTCCAAATAGAAAAGAGATGGATTTCATGTTGTGTTGTAGTGTGTTTAGATGACTGTGTGCGGTACTTGTCCGGCTGAATTGCGTTTTCTTGTTTTTCAAGTACAGGTTAGGTTTGGTGTCTCTATTAAAGTAGTGTAGTCTTCCTTTCTGAATAAAATTCTTCGGCTGTTCATTTATTGTGATACTAAGTTTTATCAGAGGTACTACCAGTGACAATTGGAGATCAACCTCAATTATCAATCTGAAAAATGTTCCTATATTTAATGATTCTGGTTGTTTTCTCTTTGACAAATTTTCATGAAGATATCTCAGAAGTTGGAGAGACGCAGTTGGTATTGTATGCGCAAATGGCAAGCCTTGTCAATATAATACTCCAGTGGCCTGGTCTCAACATCAAAGAGATTGCAGAAAATTTCTCGAAGGTACAATGTTATAAACTAGTCCTTGACTACCTAAACACCCAATGTACAAATTAATTAGTAAAATTTATGCCCTTGATCTACTATTTTAAATGTTTATTAGTGGGGCCTAACATAACATCCAAAGGCCGTATTTTCTTTAATTAATAATTCTCCAATTTGGTATAAGTTGAGCTATTTCATTGGAAGGCACAAAGCTATAATAATCAATTGGAGGAAGCTTGTTCAATCATGAAACAATTGCAGACTAGAAACACTATTCTACCTATAATTATAAAGGTGATATTTCATTGAGATGTTTTTGTTTTTGATTGATACATATATTTGTTTGAATGTGGTTGGATTCTTTAATCACATACAGCTTGCATGCAATGCACATACAATTTGTGATAGTGAGCTGATACCGTTGGGAACTGGACTGTATCCTGTCATTTCCATTATTAATCACAGGTGACTGCTTGATAGAATGGTATGTGCTGCTTTGACACCCTACTCATATAGACTGATGAATGACTTTGATCTTATAGCTGCTCTCCGAATTCAGTTCTGGTATTTGAGGGACGAATGGCAACCGTGCGTGCTATGCAACGAATACCAAAAGGTAGCGAGGTATGCTCTCAAAATTTTCTGTACATGGTGTTGGATGACGTACACCTTGTTGGGAAAGAACCCCAAAGATGAGAGGAGGAACGGGAGGCGGAATGACTTTCATCGGCGTGCTTGTGTGATGTCAGGGACAACTTTTCCTACTTTTTATTTGTTAGTTGGAAACAGAAATAAAGAATTACCAAATTAGTCCCATTACAGAAGCATAATTTCAGTAGGGTTGATATGCAAAAAGGTTATCGCACAAACTGTACGGTACTTCCAATGCGCCAAACTGGAGATGAATAGGAACATCTCTTTCTACCAAACTGAGTAGTATACTCTTTTTAGACCAAGCAAAGTACAAATTTGTAGCAATAACGTTCATAAAATGTCTTTACTTTCTTCCCAAACATGAGAGCACATGCTTTCAACACACAAAATTAGGGATGAATTAGCATGGTTTTTAATCCAACAAAAAAGGGCAACTTTTTCTTGAAAGTAGTACAGTTAACTTTTTGATGCACATATTCGGCTTTCACCAATACTTCTAGACACCAAACACTTCATACATAAAAATTAGCACATGCACAATCCTATAGTATGCGATATAGTTGGTGAGTGGGGGATGCATCAAATTCCAGTGTTGAATTCCATGAAATATTAGAGCTTCATATATTTGTGCCTTAGTACAGATTATAGTTTAATTTTGTCATTTTGGTATAGTATTGGCTCCATTATTCTTATTGAGAAATAATATAATCCTTATGGTGATGCATATGTACAAATTTGTGGCTTTATGGCATCACATAAGGATGTGAAATATTTTACTTGAGGATAATTGTTGAAAAGTTATTACGAGGGTAAGAGGTTGATGCCAAATTGACACTTTCTAGAATGTTCCGACTTTTTTATTTTATTTTTCTACGAGCAAAGGCCTTCCTATCCACTTGGTGTACAAACATGTTTTTGCATTCATACTTTTGTAAGAAAACAGGGGGCACATGATGACATATATAACAAACATGATCAAACAGAGATTATATATTAGATTAGAAAGAGGATGATGCAGATGAAAATGGATGAATGACTTGTGACGTTACACATGTCGAACACTTATGCTTCCGAAAATAACATCTCAGTTTGAGAATTTCTATGTTCAATTAGTTTGATGTAGCAGTTAAGGCTCAGGGGAATGTGGCAGAAATCTCAGTTTGGGTTGTGTCGCACTGGTTAAGGCTCAGGGGGATGTAGTAGAAATCTCATCTTCCCTGGGTTCGAATACAGGCGCTGCCAAAGCCCTTGTCGCTATGGAGGTTCACCTGCGATGACTCTAGACCATTCGTGGTCGTTCCGGGGATTAGTTGGTGCGTGTAAGCTGGCTTGGAAACCACGGTTACCGCCCAAAAAAAATTTTAATCTTGCAAACTGAACTTGTCTAATTATGTAAATATGGTCAATTTTGTAACCTGTCCCAAATTAGAAAGCTTTGCTTTTATCTCATTTTTCTCAAATTAAAGCATCATCTCTTAATTTACAGTATTTTTTTTATCACATTATCCCATTTTGCTCTTTTACCTTGGAATAATTCTTAATGTAATTGGAACAAGGGACGGAACTTCAGTATGATTTTGTAAGTTGACCTTGGAAAAATGCTATATTTTCTTAACCAATATTGATTGAGTTATCTATTACAATATTGATTACATCTTGCTAATTTCGCTGAGTTCAAATCTCATACTTGTATAACGTTTAGTGCATTAATTTCCAGGGGTGCTTCAATATGCGGTGGTCCAGGGTATTATAAGAAATATTTGTTAGTTCTTTCTTCTTGGATATTTTATGGAAGTTTGATTAAGTCAGCAACTACTGATTAAGGTAGACAAGCCAGATTTGCGGCGTCATAAATGAACTGATTAAAATTTTTAGTAGTTTGGTATTTTGTTTGGAAAAGGAAAAATTCTGTTTGCCCACCATGAAAGAATCATTAATTTCATAACAGAATAGTGCGTTAAACCTTCATTTAAATCTCTCCCTTTGTCCTCTTTCTCTCTCAATGGAAAAGCGTTTGGTGTTTCATGCGTTTTACCGTATGCCATCTCACTGATGTTGTGGTTTCCTGCTGAAGGTATTGATAAGTTACATAGAGACAGCAGGAAGCACCATGACTCGACAGAAGGCTCTGAAAGAACAGTACTTCTTCACTTGCTGTTGTCCCCGTTGCATAAAACTTGTAATTACATATAATAATTGTGTTGAATCTTGTTTACACTTTTTTAAAGTATATATCCCAAAATAAGTGTCCAGATTTCTATTTTAGTTTGTCCAAAAATAAGTGTCTACTTATTAAAGTAAATGTCTACTTTCCCATTCTACCCTTAATTATGAGATGGAGAAGGTTTCTGGGTCTATCATTAAGGGTAAAATTGTCATTTAGTTAATTAAAAAGTGTAATAACTACACATTCCTAAAACTATGTGCCTTTTTCCTTGTGGACACTCATTTTGGGATGGAGGAGTAATTTTTATATATGGCAAATACTCACGCACACTCCTCACCTTTGGTGATGTTTGAACTCTTGACCTCCGGAGGGTCCACCATTGACCCGGATACCACTGGGCCAATTGCACTCTAGTGAATTTGTTTCACACTTGTCACCTTTTAGATTCTAATTCTCGTACCTCCTTCAAGTTTATGTGATGCCTTACCATCCTTGCTTTATATTGAAGGGTCAACATGATGATATTGAAGAAAGTGCAGTTCTTGAAGGTTATAGATGCAAGAATCACACATGCTATGGTTTCTTGCTTCGTGATCCTGGTATCAGTCACCTCTTTAGCATTTGAGTCTGGGAGATCTGATTCTGTTAGTGTTTATATCGTCCTTTATTTTGTTTTGCAGAGAGTAATGGATTTAAATGTCAACAATGCCAACTTGTAAGGGACAAAGAAGAAATACTGAAGATTGCTGGTGAAGAGAAAGCAATGACAGAGAAGGCATCAGTTGCACTTTCCTCAGGGCGTATCCTCTAATTTTTTTGTTTAAATTATTATCTATGGAGATCTTTTACATGTTCTTTTTTCATATTCACTTGTGATGTAACTCGGATTTGCATTTACACATGCGATGGGGTACTTGATACATCTTTATTTCCTGTAAAACTTCCTTAGTTGGATTTCAGATACCAATGAAGCTCTTCACATGTATTTGATGGTTGAGAAACTCCAAGTGAAGCTTTGTCATTCGTTTTCGATCAATCTGATGCGAACTAGGGAAACTCTCTTAAAAGTACGTCAGTGTTGCTTCTCTTCATTTTCTCTAGCCCCATGATTCTGTTTAGAGAATTCTTTCCTGCAATCGTGTTTGCCCTTATTATCTATATTGTATTATAAAGCATTTGGGTATTTGTTCTTAAAAAATTAGTTTTTCATGGGTATGACTTATAGAACATTCAGTATAAACTATTAATGCATACAAAAAATTTCAATTTCTAAAATATTTTTATTTTGCCCTTCTGTAAAGTTAAGAACAGGATTTTTGGAATCCTCTACTACCTTTACCAAATATAAGGTCAATCAACCAAATAAACAACATAATTTTTTGGATAATTGGAAACCCGATATCGCAATTGATCTATCGAACAAGTACCCTTCTAGTCTTTTTTATGCAAACTTGACTCATTTATTTTACGAAATGCATGCAAGTTCTTGGTGAATTGGATTTAATTTTTTTCAGATATTGATGGATCTGCAAGATTGGAAGAAAGCACTGACATATTGTAGACTGACCATCCCAGTTTATGAAAGTATGCTATCTTATCATCTGCGTATCATTTTTCTTATTTGGATGCATTTTCATTAGTATCGTGTGTGTGCTTTTTGTTCAACTCCATATGTGTCATGCAATTACAGGAGTGTACCCTAGATTCCATCCTCTGCGAGGGCTGCAATATTATACCTGTGGGAAGCTTGAATGGTTTGTATATGCTCTTTGTCTGTTTATATGCATAATTCAGACTGACAAGTTCCAGTAGCACTCATCCATGAAAATTGCAACATTTAGAGACAGGACACACGTTTTTATGCAGGGTTCTTTAGTTAAATGACTTCTGTCGAGTTTTCTTTATATCCACGACCTTCTGAGGGGTTTGAGAATGCCATTGCTTAACAGACAAATCCCACTTCCATAACAAGAATGCCTAGATACTTGTTTAGAAGGTCATGGATTTAAAAAGCACTTGTCCAGAGGTCATTTAGCTAAATCACCCACATGCAAGTGTTTGACTATTTGTTGAATGCCCTAAATGTCCTTGAATAATGGCAAAATAAAGGGATATTGTGGACCACATCAAGTTAGCTGAGCAAGTTAGACAGATGTGCCGCTAGCTAGCTAGATGTAATCCTGATAGTTGTTATAGGATTAGCTCACATAATTCATTAAGAGTTCTCTGTACCCCAAGGGGGGTATTAGAGAGGCTGTTTCCATGAAGACCCTGACTTTTTTTTTTTTAAGGGTGTCCGGGCCAAAGCCCGACTAATCATCGGCAAATTTGGAGGCTAAACATGGCCCCACTTAAATGTCGCCAACACTCCCCTCCCAGGGCTCGAACTCGGGTTCATGACTATGCCATGCCCAAGCCTTTACCACTAGGCTGAAAGGTCTTTGACTGAAATGTTGGGATAAAGATGTGTGTATAAGACCCTGACTTGCAGAACAAAGAGATAAAACAAGCAAGATATAGGTGAGTGTGTGCAAACAAACACTCAGACAATGTTCAGTTATATTGCTAAGATGGATAACCGATAATTACTAGGGTAGTTTAACAACATCAAGATTAATTTGCAACACCAACTTCTCTAACCTGTTATGAAATCTCTGTAAATTTGCCAGGTTACTTGGGTACACAAAAGAAGCCATCAAATCGCTCACACAAGCAGTTGATATATTGTGCATCACTCATGGAACGACTAGTCTTTTCATGAAGGACCTTATCATTAAATTGGAAGAAGCACGAGCAGAAGCTTCATTCAAACTCTCATCTACGGATGATTAGACTGATTATGCCGAGGGATTAACATCATTCAATATCATTTTGGTAATATATATGGTAGCCCCCTTATTACGCAAGCGTATTTGCTCATGTTTTCATAAATTGCCACATGCCTTAGTTTCTTAGTTGAAATTCCACAAATGAACATTTTTTTGCATCACTTRTTATATTAACACAAGTAAAACATACCCTATCCTGTAAAAAGGGGCACAGGTGGATTTTTACTGTTGAAATGATGACTTCAGATTTATAATCTATCTGATTTTTGTAACAAACTTGACTAAAAATTGTACTGCCTACGCCCCCTCCAAAAGATGTTAGATTTTAGAAAATCCTAATCTTATTTAGGTGCAAACCTTGGAGCACCTGTATGGTTACTTGTTTATGGCCCTGAATTTGAGTTCTCTTAACAAAAACAGACTGGCTAGATAATTGCAAGACACATGAAAGCTGCCTTGGTGCACCAGAATCAGAGATGCATAAAAAGCGCTGCCCAAAACCCGGTCCTTGTAACTAGTAAGCCTGCCAAAAAGCACGATCATACCAAGTACTTTTTCAAGGCCCGGTTAAAGCCTGACCGGGTCTGTTCTCACACCCAAAGGCTGGCCCGATCCTGGCTTTTGAAGATTTTGAAGACTGGACTCTTCTTTTGCTTACTAAAACAGGCTTTGAAGGCCCATGCCCGAAACATCTCGGGCCTTATGCATCTCTGACCAGGGTGACTCTTTGATAAAGCAAAGATATCTATTCTTCAAATGCAAAAATAAATTAAAATTTACAGTTACAGCTCAAAACCTTTAAATTTTGTAGAACATTGATTTTGTAGTTTGATGTAATCATCACTTTTTCTCCATAATTAAAAGAATTTTATATCGATTGTGTAGTTAAGATGTTCCCTTTGGCCATGTACATGTCAAACAAAGGCTGACTTATTTTGTTGTGAAAAAGGTGGTACGTATCTTAAATTTTAATGTAGTTATCATATATTTCTGTATACTACATCTATTCATGGGACCTTGTCAATTGTGAATTTGACGATTATGGTGTTATATTACCTTTTTAGCTAAGATAGTTGTGTAGATCTTTTGAAGTGTAGGTACTTTGTTACACCATTACCTATGGCATTACTAGTTCTACCTTTTCTTTACACTCCAGTATTTTGAAGAAGCGTGATAATTTTGTCACACTTCCTTTCTATACAACTAACATATTTCTAAAAGAGTACAAAAGGAAAACAAACACTTCTGTTGATAAGTGTGTAAGAAAGAGTGAGCAAGCACTACACTACACCCAACTTGAGTGCTCCTTGTTTTGTTATTCTTGACCAAATGTAAGTTTCTCCTCACTCTTTTATACTACTCGGGTGTTTGTTTTATTACCGTTTTACCCATGTGATGGTTGCTTGCGGGTGAAGTGTCAAGCATAAAGGTTCTGAATGTTTGATCATTCTTTTTGGAAGATTGAAAAGTTGAAGGGAGTCCTATAAAGAAAATTGTTGTGAAAGATTCACCTATACTTATGTCAAGGCCAATGTCCCATCAAAGCACAACTTTGGTCCTCTGCTTGATTTAGGCTCATGCATTTCAATGTTTTCGCCTTCGAGGCACATTGGCGGGCATGGGATTCGAAGCAGGTGAAATGTGGTCTTTTGAGACATTTATTTTTGTGAAAGCCGAGACCATAGTTTGGGCCTTTGGTATCCTGAAGAATCTAGATTTGAGCTAATAGTCTATTCAAATATAAGATTTTGCAGAAAATGTACGACACATGCATTCATGTACTTGCAGCTTTATGTGTGTGTATATATATGTATATGTTTGCATACATAATTTCTAAGGCGTATATAAAATCTCAAGCCTAGGCTCTTGATGATGTATACCTCAAGTCTTGAATAATACCGTAAAGAAGTATTTCGTCCGTTCAAACATTTTTTTGTATTCTCTCTGCAGTTGACGTGTTTTTATGGTTTTGACTTAGGCCCAAGGCTACATGGAGAGTGCTATACTTTTCATGGACTCTTTTCGTTGGAGCTGAAACGGAACAAGGTACAAGACATCATTCATTTGGATTTGGCTATTTTAGGCACTTATTTCTATAAAGATTTTGTAAGCTTGTTCTACGAAGATAGCATAAATATTACATTTGCCATTATAGTCGTAAAGTCTTTTTCATTTACTTGTTAGCAACTTGAGTGTAACAGTTAAATCATGTTCCATGTTATTTTTTGTTTGCAAGTCAGGGGTCTTCACCCCTTGGGGTAAGGTTTGCGTACATTATAGTATTTTACTCCTATATCTTACCTCTGAATGGGATATAGTGCGTTCATTTTGTTTGGTTTTGGTGCAACAAATATTTGGATGCCTAAACCGTTTGATGCCATTGCGGAGAAGATGAAGGAAGAAACATATGCTTTGAGGGCATGGTTGAAACTCGATGAGCTACAATTGTTGCAAAACCTTGTATGCACCGAAGAACACTTATGTTTACATTTTGGGGTTGGTTGTTCCCAAGCATGAGTGATGTTATCGAAGAGGGATGTGCGAGTCTTGCAACTATATTCATTACTTTTTGAGTGTTCCTATTCGTTTTTTAAAAGGTGTTAAATATCAAGTATGAGTTAATAAATATGTATATCATCAGCCTAACCATAACAAGAAGATTAATAGAACCAAATAATTGTAAGCAGTGACGTTTTGATTGATATCTAAATAATAGAGGATCGTGAACACGTTGAATTGAAGTGCTTGGATTTGATCGTATCGAATTTCAGTATGTTTTATGCAAAGACTGTAGAAGTAATGAGAGAAATGAGTCATCTTTTTCAGAACAACTCAAAACCGTTTATATACATTTCTTCTTAACTGCCAATCACAAGTTGTTCAGATTCAATCAGGGGTAATCATTTGTAAACAAATCAATCTAACCCCTCCTTTGTTTTAATCAACGGTTGAAAATTTTTTGGTTTTTAATTGATTAATTTTTTTTAGGAAAAGATAGTTTCAGAATTGATTTTAGATTTAAATATAATTAAATAATTAGAATTTTATAATTTTGGTAATTCTCTCCACATTTTTCTTCCCCAATATCTTCATATCTCTCTCTCTAGATCTCTCTATTCCGGCGAGTTTTCAAAACTGCTGCCTCTTTTCTTACGGATGATAGGGAACATGATCGAAGATGAAGCAGATGAAGAGGTCATTGATGGTGGAAGAAGTGGATGTGGTTTTCAAAACCTCCACCTGCTTTCTTGTTGGCGGTGGGGAACATGGCCGAAGATGAATCAAATGAAGTCTAGGAGTGAGCATCGGAAGCGGATACCAGTCTTTGGAACTGGAATTGCTCCTATGTGATTGGTTCTAGTTCCGGTTCCTAAAATACAAAACCAAACCCGTTAGGACCGGGTACCCGAACCGAAACCGACGGGTATCTGCTATCTTTTAAATAAAAGTTATGTTATATATATATATATATATATATATATATATATAAAACTAAAATTGAACATATTACCTTTTAGGTTACACTTATAACTTAGGAGCCGTTTATCAAACACTTAACCGGTAAGTACTTATCGGTAAAATTCAACACTATCATTTACTTACCAAGTAAGATTTTAGTTTAAAAAAACGAAATTATATGCAACGATTTTCCTGGTAAGCTCTTACCGTGATAAGAGTCATCGTTCTCACTTACCGGGTAAGACTCTTGGTCCTTGTCTCGCTCTTACCAAGTAAGATTCTTGGTCCTTATCATATTCATCCGGTAAGGTAATATGACTTGGTAAGCACTTATCCGGGTAAACGTTTGATAAACGGCCCCTTACTCTAGCTACACGCTGATGTCGAATTTAGAATAACGACTATATTTTCAATTTTAAATATATGGATCATTTTGTTATCAGATATAAAAAAACGATAAGACGAATTCAGACGATGAAGAGAGAAGGAACTTTTTCCGATAACGATAAGCACCTCCAATACCCTCCCTTGAAGATAAAAAGAATGTCAAAGCAACAAGTTACACGGAAGAAGGATGCATGTGAAGAATTTGAAGATGATGACGAAGACGAGCATGAAAGTGATGATGATGATTTAGAAAATTCATATAATAACAATATAACCCAAGAAAAAAAAACTAGAAAAATTTAGAATAATGGAACTAGTAAACTTTAAGAAAAAAATCTGAATTATCTTAAAAATACAGAGTTGGTTATATATAGTAATCGAATAAGATATTTATGGAACTAGTAATTCTTAAGGAAAAAATGAATTATTCTTAAATATACGAATTTGTTAAAAAGACCAAAATACCTTTGGTTGTAAGTTTGTACCTTCGTATGGTTTGCATTATATATAGGRGAAAKATCAAATGTAAAYCAAGTCATTTGTATAAACTGTACAAACCTCATTCAACTAATCATATATTTTTTTTAAATATGAAGGTTGAGTAGTCATTTTTAATGTGGAGACCGTTAATTATGGACATTATCATCTTCATTATATTAACTTTAGAAAACAAATTTCATCAAAACGTAAAATGCATGAAACAATTTCATTTTTACATAGAAAGAAAAATATATGAAACAACTTTATCACGAAAAGAATTATATTAAACAATTTCATTAAATTAAACAATAAAATCGACGGTTACGATTTGTACAAATGGTCACGTATGAACCCGTGTGATTCACATATTAACTAATTAACTGATTCACATATGAATTATGAGTTCACCTTTTTAATTATTGAGAAGTCTCGTGGCAAATTTATGATTATGAATGTTCAGATTGTAAATCTAAATCCAAGGGTTGAGAATTGGTCCTACGGGTCTTACGAAAAACCTTTGGTCTCACATGATCTCAAGTCTATATATATATATATATATATATATATATATATGTATATATATGTATGGTGATGTGCATTTATTTACCTGATTGAATCTGAATAACTTGTCTTTGACAGTTATAGGGAAATGTATATATGGTTCGAGTTGTTCTCACATAGATTATCCTTTTCCCTGTATATACACGAAAGATTCTATGAGAATAGGAGTTAAGTTGAGAAGTATAAGAAGGGTTTAGACTTTGATGACTTTTAAAGACCAACTCGTGAGTTGTGATTTAGAAGGAATTGATCTAGTATATCTCATTACACTTGATTTATTGTTTTTCTTCAATTAGGATTGATCCAAAGGTAGAGATCCCTTCTTACCATTCTCACCATAACTTTCATTATTACAAGAACCCAACTCTCTCTCTCTATACACACATATATATATATATATATATATATATAGAGAGAGAGAGAGAGAGAGAGAGAGACTTGGGATCATGTAGGACAAGACTTTTTTTGTGAGACAAGTTTTTTACGCATGAAACTTCACAACAAAACTGTTTTTGTTATGAAGTTTCAAATGTAAAAATGTTGTCTCACGAAAATAGTATTGTCTCACCTGAATCCAACCAACCAACCATACATGCATGCATGCATGCATGCATACATACATACATACATACATACATACATGCATACATGCATGCATACATACATACATACATACATACATACATACATGCATACATGCATGCATACATACATACATACATACATACATGCATGCATGCATACATACATACAAACATACATNCATACATACATACATACATACATACATACATACATACATACATATTGGCGGGAGTTCAAAATGACAACACCATTGTTTTACGAAAATGCCGAAACACTTATGAGTCTTGAGAGTGTTTAACCCGTAATAAAATTTGAATAAATTAAAACATATTAGTATTCATTAACAATTTCCTATTATTTTAGATTTGTCTTTATCCATTAAATATTGTTAGTATCATCGTTAGAGTTCTTATGTCGTGCCTCTGATCATGTCTACAATCACCGGCTATATCTGTTCATTATGCAAATTATAGTTTTTTTTTTTACCATTTTACTCTTGCACGCCTTCGATATCCCTAAAAAATACATCTATTTAATGTTTTATTGCACCCTGAATCTTTCTAAAACCATGACTTAAAACATAATGATGGGCTTACAAGTGTTATTGTATTTATGTCAATTAGAGGTGTTCTCGTTTGAATCCTTCTTTAATATATATTTTTATTTATTTATTACTTATTTGATCACATTCAATAGGATTACACTGCTAAAAATTTAATTCCATCCCCGAACTTATCTGTCATTCAAAACCAACGATTGTGATAGAAACACAGAACCCTCAACCAAACAAAACCATTGATTCTGATAGAAATCTCAACAAAACAAATACCACAACCCAAACTCGACGACCGAAGACAACATGAAACCAAGAAAACACAGTCCGAAGATGTTCGATGTGAAAATACATGTATTTTTAAAAATATAAAAAAAGTAACATCTTGTTTTATTTATTCGAGAAATATATAGAAAACCCTACTTTGTGACGGAGGTATGATGTGTATAGGGCTGTAAACGAACCGAACGAACACGAACAGAGGCTTGTTCATGTTCGTTCGTTTAACTTAACCGAACAAATGAACGAGTACGAACAGTAAACGAACGAAAATCTTTGTGTTCGTGTTCGTTCGTTTAGAAATCAGGTGTGTTCGTGTTTGTTTATGTTCGTTCGTTAACATGTTAAACGAACATAAACGAACGGGCTAAATGAACATAAATAAATATTATTTAAACTCAAAATAAATAAACAAAAGATTATATATAAATTTTAATATATAAACGAACGGTAAATGAAAGAGCGTTCACGAACATAAATGAACGAACGAGACTCTTGTTCATGTTCGTTTGTTTAATTAAACGAACAAAAAAATTTGTTCATGTCCGTTCATTTATTAAATAAACGAACATAACCGAACTTGTTGAACGGTTCACGAACGGTTCATTAAACGTTTGGTTCGTTTACAACCCTAGATGTGTATGTTATTAATCGTCTTGAAACCACATATGACCCATTTGATTCCATATATAACCTTGACATGGTCCAAGGGTTATCTCAAGCATTGGTGGGTAGTGGTCAAATCTAGAGCCACTTTTGATGGTGTTGCTTCAATGTCCTTTACACATCTAACTATTGAATCTTCGTTGTCAACATGTAGCAAAAGACAAAACCTATCGTTATTATCTCCTCAAAAATATCTAAATGTTTTATAGTGTTTTAGTTTATAAAGTTTTACAATAAGTTTATAAGATGCTTTTAGACATCTTTACGGTTTTTAGGATGATTTTGAAAATAAAGTGTTATATTGTTTTCTGTAGGACATTTTACAGAAATATTTTATGAATAAACATTTTATAGAACATGTTTTTATACAACACCTTTTTAAATAATGTTGTATACAAAATTGGATATGGTGCTTTATTATAAAAATATCCAGGACAACTTTCGCATACCGACTAATTCCTGGATGGCCATAAATAGGCTAGAGTAACCACACGTGAACCTTCATGCCACATGACTTTTACATGTTTGCATACATGGAAAACTTATATATATATATATATATATATATATATATATATATATATATATATAT